GTTGCGAGACACAGTCACGCTGGAGTGACAGTTTGAAAATGAATTAGTAGTCGATAATAACCTGTCGCCATCCCGAAAGGAATCTAGTGTCCGCCAGGTGTAGATTGGTTGTGGATGTGCAACGAAAGTGAAGAAACGAAAAAAAAAAGAAAAGAAAAGAAAAGAAAACGCCAGTTCTGTTGTTGTATTACTTTCATGTCGTTTATTAATTAAAATTCAGTAGTAATTTAGTTTTCTGCCATTCTAACAAAACGTCACCACCATTCGCCAGATCTTTATTTTACGTTAATAATAATTAAGGTTTAATTATAATAATATACAGGGAGAAGGAGGAGATGTGTACAATTGATTCGTTCGCGTGTATCCGGGTATCGTTTTTCGCGTGTCGCGTTTTCGTATCGTTTTCTCGAAATCTTGCTACGCGCGTGTGCTTCGCGTACATCTAATTGTAAGTATCTTTACACGCCTTCTGTCTCTCGCAGTCTCTCTCTCACGGCCATTCACGCCCTCTCTTTCTCTCGTCCTCTCTCGCACCGCACACATTTCACAAGCACACACAGCACAGGCATCGTCGCCGACGCAGAAAAGTTCGCGCGCGTCACCGAAACATCGGAAAATCGAAGAGGTCGATCGTCGATCTCGCGGGAACAGCCGAACTCGTGATCGGCGGCGATCTTCGGTCCGTCCTCGCGATCCGACCGAGCTCTTCGATCCCGATTGCTCGTTTAATTCGTTCGCCCAACGGTCGGCGTTGTCACTCGCTTGTAAAACGCCTCGACCGTCGTTCACTATCGTTTCCCCGCATTACTCGTTCGCCTATGTACAACACATCGAGCGCGCATCCTGTCGCAGTTCCGCGCAGTCCGGCGCGGACTCCGCGCGGCTCGTCGCGCCGACGAGAACGTCGCGACCTGTCCGCCTTAGCGCGGCTGACCGCTCGCAAGTATTTGCCATAAACAGACTTCTCCCAGATGGATATACAGCTTTAATAAAACGAAACAAACAGGCAAATAGTTGAGAGCAGTCGATCCCCAACGAAAACTGGGAGATCCGGGCAGCGGCGAGACGGACACGACAAACGGACCAAAAATTAACGAAACAACGTGGTCGCGATCGATTTCGTCGGCTCGGCGGATCACCCTCGATTGCGCCTCTCGCCACGAACCCCTGGCTCTCTTTCTCTCTCCGGAAAATCACAATAAGAAAGGCAAAACGGAAACGTCGCGAGACTAGTTACAATCGCGAGCAATCAAATTATCATAGAGAAGATTCGCGTTTATCGTCCCTTGTCTGCTTCCACGAGATTCAACACAATTTCACGAAACAATGTCATGCCCTGAAAGAATTTGCAAGTTTATCTATTTATTTCTTCAATGTTTCTGAATCCGATCAATTTCACGCCAAAAAACTCGAGTAGTCAAGGTTCGGCAAAAATTCATGAGAATTTCGAGATCGATTCGCCGACTGCTTTTCGATGGTGCTTCGCGGATTAATCGAGCGTCGGAAAATTTTACGAAAGTCGATCCGACGATGGCCGAGGCCGGACTCGCGCGAAGCGCCGCCACTCTCCGGCCAATTGAGCAAATAATCACGGAAACCGTGTCGCCGATAACGCGCGTAATCCCGACACCGAGCCTCGACTCCGCGAGCTGTCGCCTAACGAAGCCGTATCGATCGCACTCCGGAGAAATCCGGGGTACGAATGCCCCCCTGAGCCCCCCTATCGTCGTTTCAACCCCCCGTGAAATCCGTACGACTTCCCGATTTTCGGGAATCGGCGGTCTAACGAGGCGGAGGATTCCAGTCAGCGGCGGGGAACCTATCATTAGCGGCAAGAATGTGGATGGATCACGGAAACGAGCGGCGATTTGTGTGCCCTAAGCGCGTTATAACGAGTCGGACCCCGCACGGATCTATCCACCGTCGGGCCCTCGGCCCGATTTTACGGTCGCCACCCTTTATTAAACTCGTAGAAACTCGCCGATAGAGCCGTTCGAACGATAATGTGTCACCTGTTCCCGGCTTTTATTCGAACACGACGAGGATTTCATGGATTTTAGGGACCCGCGCGATCGTTTCCGCGCGCGACAGCGATTTTACGAGCTTTTAAACAAGCGGCGGAATCCTCATCGGTGTTTGAAAAAATGCTAATCGCGCGGCGACAGCCGTGAAACGGATGACAAAGTAACGTTGAGATCACGGAAGGCAAGCTTCTGCTCGGGATCCTAGAACGGCATAGATCCCGAAGCGACGGGTCGGACATGGTGCTGTCACAGTCGCGAACGTTTATGGGACGAGCAAAGTTGCGGCATCGAATGCGATCAATTTACAAGAGATATCGAGTCGATCGAGTCGCCGCGGAATTTATCGAAAAGACGATGGCGTTTCGAGCGCTGTGAAATCGATTGCGAGGTCTTAGGTTCTACAACGACCGATCCTGCTCGGCGTCTGTTTCTGCCAATCGCAAATTGCGAGGTGGTTGCGAACGAACATCGGAAAAATTTCTAACGAGGAATCAGGGTTCGAGAAAACAATGACTGCGATCGCGGCGAGTCCCGCTAAAGCCGCTCGCTTATGCAGATCGCGTCAAGGATCGTCTCGCGGGCGTACGCGTTTCGCATAATTCGCGCGTGTCTCGAGGAATTCATTGGACGCGGCGCTGGTTCTTGTCTTTCTTTCTCCGCGCCGGAGAGCCGGAATCGGAGCCGATCGAAAACAGCAGCGGCGAACAAGCCCCGCGTCCCTTTTCTCAATACTCGGAACACCCTGCGGAGAGCCTACCGGAAAATAAAAAGCAAAAGGGCCGTGCGTTTTCGTTTTGCGTAGGCCCGCGCGGTACATGCGACGGCCTGTACCCGGGCCACGGACGATCACAAGCACCGAGTAAGGCCCACGGCCGAGGATCGGCCGCGAGAAAAAGCGAAGGGACTGGGGAACGGACCGCGTGACCACCTACGCGACGAAAGGCGTTAAAAAAGGAGCCCCGAGGACGCGTACGCTCGGCGACGACATGCCTATTCGTTGCGAAACGCGGCGTAGGAGATCGGTGTTAACCTGCTGGAGTCGCACTGCTACGGCTTTTCGCGAAAAACGCCGATCGATATCTCGGAATTCGCTTGCAGCTGCTTTATTCGTCTTGCTGCGGCCGCCTTTGCGATTCGTTTAAACGATTTTCGAGCAGATACTAACAGCTGTGAGTAACGATGATCTGTACCATGAAATTTAAGTTTCTCTTAATCTTCCGCGAACCATGCGGTGTGAAATTAATCTCCGCGGTTTTAAAACTGCAGGATTGTGTTGCAAAGTACACGCGAGCGGCCTGGGTTTCTGGCTAGCTGAAGATAAGACGTTGCGCCTTATCGTGTCGCGACGTCAGTCAGAAGTGGACGAACTTTAATGTTTTTCTTATTAATATAATAAATTGAAATATCAAATTTGATCGAAGTCTGTTCTTTTTGAGAAACGATGAAAAACCATTTTAACGTGTACCCTTAGTGAAATTACATATTTGTAGACGCACAATGTTCGAGGTATGATTAACCCTACACGATTCAGGGTGTCACTTTTTTTCACCTGGTTCGAAGGAAGGTTAAAACAATTTTATCTGTCCGTATCACTGCAACTGTCCTTGCGGTTTGTTTGAACGAATTTTAGATAGAGATGAGAAATTAATTCGTAGATCATTGTGTCTATCGTATAATTTGCAATAGCTTGTTTCGGAGTAGAAATGGGAAGGTCTGATTCTCTGATACAGAGATTGAAAGAAGAAAATTTTCACGTTGTTCCAAGCTGAAGATGAGTAGATGTATACCGAGGAGTCTGCAACTTGCAGTAACTTTAGTTGTTCGAGCAATTTTGGAAACGGGAATGCGCGACTCTGCGGTGCAGAGACCGGCGAAGAAAATTTGCCTTTCCTGATTGACTGAGATTCTCTTGAGTTGTGCTCGCTTCGTGCTTGCATAAAACAAGGATCACGTTACAATTAAAAGAAAAAGTTTGTTAACAAAGATACCAAGACACTTGGCAATGATAAGCGGGATTGAACAACTGGGTTCCTTGAGAACGAGGACATCGATTTCGGATGTTCAAAAGCGATCATTAATTTCGCGAATGAGGAGTCGAGAGACCGGCAGCTGGTAAGAACGTCGCGGCGAGCTTTGTTTGCGAGGGAGAATCTGTCAGACGGTGCAAAAACGATCGGGAATGAATTTTCGCCGGATCCAGGACGGATCGACGGACCGGCGCGACGCGTCGCAGCGACGTGGTCGTTCTAATCCTAATGTGTACAGCCAATCGCGAGAACGGGGGAGGGAAAAAGCGACGGGTCCGCCATCGCGACGCCGAGACCCGTCGTGCCGAGGGACGACAACCGGAATCGATTGCTCGCCGGCGGAAAAATCGCGCTACCAATCGCAGAGCGTGACAACGGAATTTCATGAACGGTCCCGGCCGCGAGGAATTTTGATGATAATCGCGAGAAAAGAAGAGACGACGAAGGGCGAGAAGCGGAGGAAAAGAGAGAGAGAGAGAGAGAGAGAGTGTGTGAGAGAGAGGCGATTCGGTGGCCGGCGGCGACGGATCAACGCGAGACTCTCGCTCTGCGATTAGCCTCCGGGCAACAGAAGACAATAATAACATTAGTAATAGTAATATTAATAATAATCGGTAATAATAAAGAATAATAATAAATGACAATAAAGAGACGGCGAATAATATAGTAGCAATAATAATAAAACCATCGTAATAGCGACAAAATAATGATGACCTGCCTCGTCGTTTACAATACTCTCTTTCGCGGAACGGTGCCTTTCGAAACATATCGCAAATGATACATATCATGTATGTATGCATGTATATAGCCACGACCTCTCTCGACTTCGCTATAAATTTATCTCTCTCTCATGTACACGGAATCCTCGCCACGTTTATACACATATATTTCACTTGTTTTCTTTTTTATATATATATATATTTGTTCATATATATATCTATATACTTACTCTTTATACAGAAGGGGTTTTTCTTTGCGAGGGGGTTCCGCTGTCGCTAGGATTCGGCACACGTTTCCGGACACGCGCGTCTCTCTTTTTTTTCCCCGTTCGTCACGCGTGTCCATTTTTGTTCTTTTATGTCTTTTCGTTTACTTTTGCCGCGGCGCCTCGAGAGCATAGCGAGCGCTCGGCGTCGTTCCCATCCGATTTTCTCTCGATTCCTCGCAGCTCCCTCGATCCTCCGACGGGCCTCGAGAACAGAACCACTCTCGCGTTTTCCTGAGCCCGTCGGTGGCGGCTGCGACGACGACGACGACGACGACGACGACTTCGACGACGACGACGACGAAGACGACGAAGACGACCACGAAGACGACGATGTGAACGAACAAACGTCGACGCTTGCGCGCTCTCACACTTAACTTACTAGCTTTATCTAGTACATTATTTACAGTCCATATTTACTTATGTTACATCATCCGGCGGGTTTGCCGAGAACAAATCCCGCTCGAACGTACACCGCTCTTCGCCTCCGGCTGCGTGTTCCTTTCGTTTTTCTGTTTCGGTATTATATACACGGCCGTGTACGTCCGTCCGTCCATCCGTCGCTTATCCCCGAAGGACGGCTTCCCGTCGTTCGTCGATGCACAGAAAACGTCCCTCGAGCGCGCACTTATTCTCGTTTTCGTTCCCCGTCGATTTTTCTCACCGTCGCAAAACGACAAAACAACGACAACGGCGACGGCGTGGGCGAAACCACGGAGGGTCCTTCGAGACGAACGAACGAACGAACGGGTATGAAAACGGACGGATCGAGTCGACCGCGGACGAGTTACGCACTTTCCGACACAGGGGGTTAGGTATCGATCACGGGGAAAACGTCGACGAGCAAACAATGCTCGATCCTCGATGGTGGACAACAGGAACTGTGCGCCGCTCTGGTCCCCGTCGCGTGATTCTCGAGACGATGAAGAACACGATACAACTCCCTGGCGTAGCTGGACGACGATACCGAGACGGTGTCTGTCTGGTGCAGGCACGATTCACCGTCGAATCGTGCCCGGTTACAAGCCTCCCCGATGATCCGGGCTCGGCCTCGTGAAACCCCGTTAAATCTCGACGACGAGAGACGTTGGCGAACCAACTCCCTCAACGCGGACGCACACGCACGCACGCACCCACGCGCGCACTCTTCTCGCGCGACGACAAATCACGAGCGATTGAAGGATCGTGGCTCGTTTCGGTGTGCAAGCTGTGTGCCGTCCAGGATAAACAAAGGCTCCCTTCGTTCAAAGGGCGCGTCGATTCAGAAGCACGAATATCGCGAACGAGTCGCGTCTAGACCGCTCTGCGACCACGGCTACGAGTTGGTGGAGTAGCTGCCGGTCCGCGCCTGCAGGTAGTGGTGATAGAACGGAGGGAGCGTGTCCGGCGGCGAGGACGCCACCGGATGATTGTTCGCCGAGTTCTGCGAGGTTATCGAAAGGCCCAACGGGGGAGGCCCGGGCGAACGCTAGTGGGCCGCCAACGAGTGGGCCGTGAGACCCTGAGGACTGAGCATAGGCGGACTGTGGCTGTGGCCCATGGGACTGCCGTGGAGGTGATCCTGCGGATGGTAACCCTGATGCAGACCCGCCTGTCCTTGGTGGCCGGGCGGCATGCCCTCCATGATACCGTCGCCGAGCGTGTTCGGCGGCGTCATCCTCTTCTCCTTCTGCCGTCGGTTGCAGAACCACACCCTGACCACCTCCTTCTCGAGCTGCAGGCTGTCCGCGAGGGTGGTGATCTCCTGGGCGGACGGTTTCGGCTGTTTGTGAAAGTGTTGCTCGAGGGCGCCCTTCACCGACACCTCGATCGAGGTGCGCTTCTTCCGTTTCCTGCCCTGGGCGGCGATCTTGTCGATGCTCGTCGGCGAGCCGGTCGTCGAGTCCGCCTCCTCGAGCCACTTCTGCAGCAGCGGCTTCAGCTTGCACATGTTCTTGAAGCTCAGCTGCAGAGCCTCGAACCTGCATATCGTCGTCTGCGAGAAGACGTTCCCGTAAAGGGTACCTAGCGCGAGCCCGACGTCCGCCTGGGTAAATCCGAGCTTGATTCTCCGCTGTTTGAACTGTTTCGCGAACGCCTCGAGATCGTCGGAGGTCGGCTGTTCGTCCTCGCCGGCGCTATGGTCCCGGTCGTGCGCGTGGCCCGGGTGGAGCGCGTGACCGACCGGCGAGCCCGGGTCCCTCAGGTTCGGATGCAGGCCGGTCTGGTGGTTGTGCAGCTGGGGATGGTGTTGGTGCGGGTGCGTGTGCAGCATGCCGTTCATCGCGGCGTGGTATTGTTGCAGGGCGGTGGGCGAGGCCGCGCCACCCGACGGATTGTAATGCGCCGACGGGACGACCGGCGCGTGCCAAGGATGCGGCGAGGCCATGCCAGGGGACTGATGGGGCCCGCCGCGGTGCGGGTGCATCGACTGGTCGTTGGCCGCAGCGGCCGCGGCCGCGGCCGTCGCCGCCGCCGCCGCCAAGGGCTTCACGTCCAGCCCGGCATTCGTCTGGTGCGGATGATGATGAGGGTGATGGCTGGTGTGATGCATCCCCATCGAGGACGCCCAGTGGTCGCTGCTCGGCTGCAGGCTGACCCAGGGGTTCGCCGCCGAGAGCGACGCCGTCGGGTGCGAGAGCCCATTCGGCGACGGGGACGACGTCACCTGGTGATGATGATGATGATGGTGATGATGTTGCGGCGCCGGCATGTACTTCATCTCCCCGGCGTCGGCGGCGCTGCGAGGCGAGCTCGAGGAGTAGCCACCCACGGCGATGTTCATCCCGATCCCGGTACCCGAACCACCATCAAGCTCGGACGACACTGCGCTACCAATCGGCATGTACGTGGTAGCGGCCATCTACTTCCCCTCGTCCGAGGTTTCGCGAAACCCGCTCTCTTGTTTCTCGATGTTTTGTCCAACGTCTGGCCACGCTCCCGACGATCACCCGAATCGGGCTGCCCCGACAGGGCACCCCTCGACTCTCTTCCTTCTCTTGCTCCTTCTCGCCGCCGACGTTGGCTCTCTGCGCTTCCTCGGATCGTCGTCGGTAATCACTGTTCTCATACAACGTCTAGAATCCTCGCACCAAACTTTATACGATCACCAACGTGAAGCTCCTGCGAGATCCTCAGAGTCCTTGTTGTTCTCTATCTCTACGAGTCACACGTAGCGCACAGTCCATCGTTCGCGGGGGCACTCGAAATCCTTGATCAGCGACATGGTTGCGCGTGCGAACAACTCGTAGTCCATAGTTTGCCGGACCGCCGAAGGAAATCCGTGACAGCGGAGTCGAGAACAAGGGACAGCCACGAAAGTGGCTTCGAGTCCTCCGGGGAGTGTCCCCGTCGGTGACGGTCTCACCGCGTCCTGACCCGACTGGTCTCTCGGACACCCCGACACCAGAGCTCGGGTAACCCGGGTCACGTACGAACAAGTAGATCACTCGCGACGGTCGATCGGTTCTTTATCGGGGATCACTCATCACCGGCGGTGGTATCACTGACGACCGTACGAAAACTCGTGGATCCTCGTCGGAAACGAAGCACGACGCGACACTCGCGGGCCGAGATTCGGCGCGGACGCGACCCGACGAGAACGCTGGACCGGTACACGAGCGGGTTTATCCTCCAGCGGGTACGCGAATCCACGGCTGCCGATTGCTGACGATTACTGGCGATTGCTGGCGAAGCGACGAGCACACCAGGACCAGGAGCAGCACAGCAGACGAGTAAAAGGTGCTCACGGTGGCGTCTTCTCCGGCGGTGCGCGCGTGTACGCTTTCCTCGCGTACGGTTCAGTCTCTCCCGTGCGCGAGTGTGTGGCCGCGAGAGCGAGAGAGAGTGTGTGCGCGCGAGAGGAGAGACGACGACGGCTCGCAAAAGATCTCGCTCGAGCTCTCTCATGCGTTATGCATGTCGTAGCTGAGAGCGACTGACTGCCTCGCCTCGCAGCTCGCTCGAGGTTCCCGAGGCTCCCGGACCGCCGCTCGGTGGAACCGACTCATGCGCGCCACCGTCCTGCACATCCCCACCAGAAACCGCGTTCAGCTTCGCGATTGGTAGTGCTCGCAAGGTGGCCGTCGACGAACGTCACCGTCGGGCGTGGTCTGGCCCGGCCGCGCCTCCGAGGCAACCTACGCACCCCAGGCGCCACTGCTCTCACCCCTGTCCTTTCCTCTCCTAGCCCCTACCTTCGGCCGACACGATCCCGACCCGACTCGACCCGAGACTCGACTCACCTCGACCCGATCCGACCCGACGCGACGCGACGCCGCGCGACCCGACTCGACTCGATTCGATTCAACTCGATTCGCGCGTCTCGGGTACGCTCCGCGGCGTCGTTACCTTCGTCGTCACCTCCGTCGTCATCCTCCCCGTCGTCGCGCAAACACCTCGGCCCTCGATGGATTCCCAATTTCCCTTGGATTCCACCTCGCTCCCGAGTTCCGCGAAACTCTGCCGGCCTCGCCGGAAGCCGATACTCGCGGGGCCGCGAGCGATCGCGCGCGCAACAGGTCCTAATTTAGCGCGAGAACATCCGCGAAAGACGAATACCTTCTGGCGACAGTAGGACCTGGTTTCGCTTGCTGTTCGCGTAGCTCGCGGTGCAACAGGTGCAGCGGACACTCCGCCGCGTCGCGACGCTTCTCTTTTACGGTCCTGTCACCCTCCCTCCCCCGGCACCGGCCACCGTCGCCGTTCGTTTCGAACGAGAGACAATCCGTAGGCCGAGAACCGATTCGGACGGGGTCGAGAGGTGGATGATTGCAGGAGGAAGCCGCGTTTCCCCGAGCAACAGGTTCTCGTCCGTGGTGATTAATTAGCGAGAAACGCGGACCGGTAGGGCCCCGAGGGGGCGGTATCAATAGAAACGACGCGTCCGGATAAAAAAGCCTGTTTCGCTGGGCGCGAACCAACGCAACGGCGCGGCGCGCGGAGCGGACGGGGGGTGGCAGCCAGACCGAGCCAGCCAGCGAGGTTTAGTACATTTAAATGAGAGCCACAGGTAGCAGCATTATGCAGTACGTGCCAGCCACCCCTCAGGAGGGGTGAGTTAGATCATCGTGTGCCGGGATCCCCCTGTGTCGTACCGTTTCAACTACCCAGCTGGCTTTGCGCCTTCGCACCTGTGGGCACCGTCGAGCTCCGCCGAGGCCATAGCGATACTCGCTCACCTTTGCTTCTGCTACTCCTACTCTGACGGCCCTGCCAGCTTCCTACGAGCTCGTCGCTTCGGTATACTAACATTTCACCGTGCTACACTGTGCAGAAGCTCTCGCACTAATTGCCAATCGATTTTCTTTACTATCTCTGATTCTAGCTTCCTTGTTTCACGCGATAGACATCGTCCGCGCCGAAATCGTTGCTCGCAATAGCTAAACATCAAATTCCGCGCACCCCTGACAAACATAACCCGGCAGTACACGTGTGGGGTTCCATTGGATCTCACCATTAGAGAGCCTCGACTACTTCTCGTATTTATATTGAGTTAAATATATAGTACTATTATATTGCACTAATTTTTGTAAAAAGGCATAAAATATATATAATATTATCAACAAATGTGTCTTCTTGTTAGAAGTTGATGAGCACCCCACGCGGTTACTTTTATTTCAGAAGTTCAGGTGCGTAGAACTGCCGGGTTAAATAGGAGGTTCGCAATTTCAAGCTATTCATCCTGATCAACGAAGCAAGCAATTTCTGTTTAGCTTTGCTGAACATTTGCATTTCTGCGCAAGGAACCGCAGACTGTCCTTCAGAATTGCGACCATAGACGATGTCCGCGGTTGGCAACCACCTCGATCCACTGTTACCGCCAACGGCTGCACGGATCCCTCGTTTTTCCGGATTTTTCGCGCGCCTCGGAATTTCCAAGAAATCGAAGGGCGAGCGTTCGAAGCTTTCAGCGCGAAATCCGCACGCACGTCCCCAGGCTAGCGGCGCGTAATATCGACTGACAAGACTCCTCGCGGAGGAGAGCGAGCGAGCGAGCGAGCAGCCGGCGCGGGCTAGCGATACCTCTCGTGGTCCGCTCGCAAACGATAAGTATAGCCGAGCTCCTACCGAACCTAGGAATTTCGAGCGCACCTCCGATGCCAATTATGCTCGGCTCTGTCATTTACGCGGCCCGTTATTACACGGCCGCGCGTCGGCTGTTTCGCTGGAATTACGAGCATTTTAATGCCAGCCCGCCATTATCGCATCTTTGCCAACTTTATTACACGCGCGACCCTTTCGGTGCAGCGCCACGGCCTCGAGACTCTGTCACCCTTATCCTACTTAGCCTGAAAAATTCGAGAAAGTTCGGTGCTTTATCAACCCTTCGACGAATAATTCAAAATTGATGGCGGCAATCGGATTACCGGGTACACCATACATTTTCTGAATTAATCTCTTGCGTCTCTCTTAGCAAAATTCGCTAAATATCATTAGGAGAAACGTCGACGGTTAGGGGTAACCGTAAATCGTAGCCGATGCAGTAGAATCGCGACTGCACGTTTTATGCGTTTATGCCAAAACTAATTAGATGAAACACGGAAACAATGTTACGAAAAAACATTAGAAGAATTTAAAAATATTATTACGTCATTGATGAAGTATTAAAACTATCGAAGAAGGTAATACATTCACAGTCATCTTATATTACTTACAATTAATGCAGAAAATTTTTATTGTGCATAAAGGTTCGCAGTGCAGTTATGCATTTCAAATATACTTGATCTAATGGTAATTCTAAGAATAACACTAACTGTAAACACGCGCCGCCTTATTATTTCGTTCAAAAACTAAAATCTGTTACATTTCACTGTGCGTAAAACGGTCCGTTAAAAAATATTAACAAACACAGTCAAGCCTCCCTGCATCCGCTTAAGAGAAACGCATCAAAAGTTATTCTAAATCATCGTCAGGTGGTCGGACCGTGCGGCAAGGAGTTGGGAATCTTCCTCGATGAATTCTTAGAGGATCGAAGTTGGACTGACCAGCGCAGGTCCCGAGATCTCCGTGCTTCCAAGATCCCGCACGATCTTAACGTTTGGCTCGGCCCGCGGCGCGACTCTACGTCTCGATCGATCGGGCCCGGAGGAGCCAGCTTCGAGTAATGCACCCTTAATTCGATTTCGCGCAGCCCCATTGCGTCAAATTGGATCGAACGTTGCCGAGAAATATTTGCTTAGGACCCGACAGGTAGCGAGTTGGCTGGTTGTGCTGCGCAAGGGGTGAAAGGCGAGAGCATCGCTGGCTCTTAGCGGAGCGACAGAGACGAACGGAGGAAACGGGGGAAGCGAGCGGAGCGGCAACGGCCTGTTCCGCGCTCTACGTGAAAACACTTTACTACCTGAACGTTTGCTTGCATAATTTAGCCGGTCTTTTCTGACCCAACGGCAACCCTGGGAGGGGGGGCGGTCTGCCTGCCTGCCTGTCCCTGCCTGTGCCTGCTTTGCTGGTGCACCTTGTTCCGCGCGAGAACACCACCGTAGGGTGCGAAAACATTTGTGAGGAACGTTGTCGGGGACAGGAAACGCTGTCACGGACAGACACCGTTTGACCCTCGACCTCGGGGAAGAATCTCGATAAGAATTTCGAAGCTGGCCGTCAAAGTGAGCGACAAAGGGAGGATCGAACATTGGGTTAGCTAGACGGTTTTCCCGTGAAATGTAGGCTGTTCTGTAACAGGCGTGAGCAAGCTGGCGATTGCCGCATCGACCGCGACACGCGTCGTCTTTTTTTATCCTTGACGCTTATGCGAATTATTTGTCGATAGCTGCTAGTTGCAAAAACCGCGGTGCAAAGCCGTTGTATCCTGAGAAGAGGAATTAAACAGGAAGGACTCTAGCCCTTCTAGAACTCAGATAGAGTTCGAGTCGAGCCACTAAATGCGGTCAACGTCCATCTCGTATTTCAAACAGTCGATAATTGCAGTAGGTAGCTTAGACTTTAATCTGACAGCTTGACGATTTACAGTCGAGAGTATTCCTCGGTGAAAATGAACTTTTAACACCACAGTAGTCCTGTATAATGATGAGTCCATGATGAGTCCTCTAGCGGAACCAGGAAGAAACGCTTCCCTTTCTTTTCCTTCATTCCTCTGTCTTTTCAGGCACCCACAATTATGTACCTATAGTCCTCAAATATCAACAAGAATAGAACAGAATTATATTCCGACTGGAAACAGCATTACAACATTCAAACTGGACAGGTTATTACTCATTTAAATTGCGAGTCAGACTTGTCAAATTACGGCAAGAGATTAATAGGCAGTGATATCGAAGAGAGTAGTCAACGAACGCAGGATTTTTGACAGCTGGCCAAAGACAGCAACGCCGCGACCGACGTGACAACGTGGCCGAGCTAAGGCCATCGAGAGTAAACGATCGCGTTCTGATTGGTGCGAAGAAAGAGGAAACGGTGTTAACCGATCGATGCGTGGAAATATAAGATGGAACGCGATCGGCAGAGAAGTTCGGAAACGAGACCGTCCGTGCCGTGTCGTAGGTCGCGGCGGCCGTAAAAAAGAACGATCGCCTCGACCCCCGTGCGTGAATGGAGGACGGTAACCGGCGTAATTTCACTGCCTTTATGCTTCGAATGAATATTTTAATATTTTAATACGAAATACGCTACGAGGGATTTTACGGCGGGCCGCGCTATAGGTTTCCCTCGTGGCTGGTTGTCCGCGCGGGTAGCTCGTGTACCCGAAGCTTTCCCTGTCGAGAGCGAAAGGGTGGGAGAACAGCCGGCAGGGAGACGAAACGGATAAAGGGTCGACACAAAGATGCGATAAGACGCGGAAAGAGAGAGGAAAGCGAGACGGGAAACGCCGAAAGAGACCGAGAACCTAGCCGGGAACCGTGAAAGGAGACCTTACAGAGGGTGGGGACAACGGGCGAACGGTGGGGACGGCGCTACTGGAGGGGAAGTTGGAGAAAGGACAGAGTGTCCGGAGAAGAGGAGAGGAGATCGGTGTGGAA